AAGTTCATTTTTGACTGATCCCTGAGGGGTACCAGGGGTGAATTTTTCGACGAAAAACAAAAGTTCGCAGAAAGATATGAAATTCACGTAGATCTACTGAGTTTTAAAGGCTGATTCAGAATATCATATTGGTTTTCATCCATGTGATACTTTTCTGATCGAAATTTACTCGATCCTGCTCAGAAAAGCATAAAATCTTGTCTCGAGTACAGTATTCTTGAGATTTCTTTTGCTAGCCAATGTTTTTTTCCCAATTTAATGGCAGATTCAGATAGAGCTTGAAAAGTTACATCGAAATTCCATACTCTCGTTTCAGTTCAAAACTGTTCACTGTACTAGAAGAGCACTTTAATAGGGTCCACTTCGTTTACCTTAGCCTAATTCTGAAGGTGTTTCGCAGTTACGAAGCGCTAATTGTTTCTAATTAGTTTTTATTCGTCGAGATTCTGATTACACTTAATAAATAACATATCCTAGAAACTGTTTCAGACATTTTACAGGTTAAACCATGCGATAGGATGGCCAAAAGTCAGATTTGGACCCAAAAATCAGAGTATAGGTTAAACTCGAAATTCAAGCCAGTATACATTTTGGAGATTTGCGATGAGGATATTTGTAATCAGCATAGTTGACTTGCTATTTGCAATAACTTTAAATAACTAAATTTTGAAAAAAAATTTTTTCGAATTCCCCTAGGGGGGTACGGGGGTGCCAAACCCGGAAGTAATTTGAAGCAAAATTACCCTGTGATATTTGTAGCCCATATGGACCTCGTAACTGTCATATAGTTATTTCTTGAAAATATTTTGGGCCGAAAAGTGGCCTTAACGCCACTCCTCCTTTGTTCAATATCATCTTGATGTAGTAGATCATTTAAATTTTTCAATTGATCAAGTTTATATTGTATAAATAAATAATCAGAACGTTTTGTTGCAGATCTGATACTAATTTGATGTTTTCTTACTTGCTCTCGTAGAATACTTTTTGATTTTTCTGTGATAAAAAAATGAAAAACTTCTTCTGGATATGTAATCGCTTCAGATTCAGCAAGTTCTTCGAGAATTTCTAAAGGATCATCATTGATCGGATCTATGACCCGTACTTTCTTTCTAGTTTTACGTGTCATATCTTTCAAGAAACTGGTGAAACTACTATCCGATTTTTCTTCTTCTTTTAAATTATCTTGGACATTTTTCAATAATGCATTTATTGTAGATTTCTCGTTAGTAGGAAATTTGGTAAATAAATAGAAAAAAGTTTGCATATAATCATCATTTTTAATTCCTGGAATCAATCCTACTAACATATGAGCTAGATCCTTCACACCAGTGCATCTATCACCAATGCTCTTGTAACTAATCAAAACAACTGGCCTTACACTTTTACATGTTTTTATTGCTCTAACTATACCTATCCCATTTGCAATATCTACTTCTGGACCATGGGTATCTTCGAATCCGGGACTATCGCATAGAATAATACTACCATCACTATTTCCACCAATATCTTTATAATTTACTGTTACAGGAGAAATGTATCGAGTTTCAGATCTCGCAAATGGTGCAGTTGTTATCTTTCTCAGATCCAGGTTCTTGATTTCGATGGGAGCGATATGATTCATTCCTTGCACATTTGTTTTAGCCATTTTAGATCCACCAAGAAAATGAATAGTTGTAGATTTACCTGTTCCAGTTCCTCCCAAAAAAAGAATAATTTCTTTGTCCTTGATTAACTTTGCTGCATCATTGACTTTCGCGATAAGTCTAATCAATTCTTGTATATCTAATGGACGTACTTCCTTCAATAATTTTCTTAAGTCAGTAAAAGCATTTTTCCAGCTTTCATTTCGTAAGTAGACGCTGCATCTTTCGATTATATTATGAAACTCTCCCGATTGTAATTCTTCTATCCTCAACATTTCTTTCAAACAATCAAATTCTTTCATAATTTCCTGCTCAATCTCATTTGGTACTTTGATTTTACAACGTGAAATCATTGTTTTATTGGCTAATTTAAGAGAAATATAGAATAATAGACTAATAATGTATTTCTCAGAACATGGTGGCAATTGACTAGAATCATTCCACATGTTAATTAAATATTCTTCCGTGATAAGATATTCTTCAACTTGTTCCTTATCAATCTCAAATTCTGTTTTTGATTCGACATCTTTGAGTTTATTGTTCATGAGATCGGTTGCACTCATATGATCCGTAATGCCTTCACACTCAACATTCTCATGCGAAGATGTTAGAGCATTAACTTGTTCTACTAACAACTGACTTTGTTCAAGTTCCAATAACGAAGCTTTTGTTTTCTGTGCAATAATGTATCTTTCTTCATTTTCGGGTGATTGAATTAATTCTTTCCTCGGTGTTATTTGTTTAAGCGGCTCTTCTTCACTAGATATGTCGTTCTTGGATAAACTTTTTTCGAGTTGACTACTTGGTGCTTCACACAATTTAAATCTTAATTGTTTTTCTTTCTCTAGAACGGAAGCATCTGACTCTCTACTCTGACTATGGTCTGCTACATTTTCGACTTCAGCTAATTGCCCAAAAGTTCTTTGGTGTGTGTTGGCATCATCATTAGCATTGCATGTTTCATTCGGATATATCGGTTGTATTATCGATGATACTTTCACTGTTGGATCAGATCTACTCTGAAATTTCATATTTGCTGATTCGCTATTTAAAAAATGCTGTTCATAGGGCTGTTCTAGAATATTACCTTGTGGTATAGCTGATGCTGAAAGTTTTCGTTCTTCATTGATCGAACGAGCACTCGTAATTGTATTATGATCATCCAGTTTTTTCTCACGCATGTTATTGATACTCTGGCTTGTTACATTCGTAGAATGAGTTTCTTTAATTGCGTTTAGTAAATTTCTAATCGTTAGTTCTGCACTATATTTTGGATCAGAATGTGTTTGAAGAGTCATTGACTTTAAAACAACACCTGAAAAAAGTTCAGAAAATTCCATCTGCAACTTCGTCGGATTAAAATTCGACTTCACCACTGGATCAATATATTCAGCCCGTTCTAATTGTCCATTAATGTTAAATCTTAATATTACTCCAATCCAATGTGAATTTTTAGTATAGTAAGGAAAAAGAACTATATTCTCAGGATTGTAGTATTTCTTTGCCTGTTGTAACCGTTCTTGCCATTGATCTGATATACGAGCATCAACTGGTAATAATACGTGAATTGGTTTAGGAAAATGTGCAGGAAATTGCTCACGTTCTTTTGCCAATTCAGTTGATATAGCAACATGAATCTGCTTAAAATCTCCATACTGATTCGAAGAGTTTTCTGAATTACCCATTGTAGCATACAGTTGTTCGTCCTTGACAATTTCGCTTGGACTTTTTGTCATAATCAAAATAGTAAATGTTTAGCAATAGTATTGCCTAAAACAAATCCTAAAGTAAATGCTATGCTTTTTTAGTCTTCAAGATTCGTATAGAGCTCTATGAAAGTCTCTAAAAGCAATGACAATCTATCAACAGATACTAAGAAAACAACATCACATTGCACTCACATATAGGGTGTGGGTAGTGTTCTTTTCTTAACCGACACCCAGACCCACATCCTCTACATCGAATTTCGTCTAAAGATAGCCATCGTTCAGAAGTTATAATGTATTGAGTTTTTGTAAAACTGTCACAACTCTGTTAGGTAATTTTCTAAACGTTATAACTTCCAAACGGGCTCATGCTTTTAGATAAAACTTAAAACCTGTCTATGAAATTCGATGTACATTACGAGGAAGCTCAAAAAGAACAGAATACTGCTAAAAGGAAGAACATTTTTAGGAGACGATAGAATGCTGAAAAATAAGTTAATTTTGTTGCAAACTTCAAACGCAAAAATTTCTTTATAAAGATTCATTATTTTAGTTCAATGTTATGCTCTATAAGGTTCATCTAGGTCTCATGCTCTGAACTTGAGATTCAGCATATAGAAACTCCTGGCTACGCTACTGATCGATATCCAAGTCAGAACCCGAAAACGATTGGATACTCTTAACTCCGTCAATTTCCGAAGAAAGTTCTTTGTACTTCATAAATTATTTTATTATGTACAAGGACTAGAACTACGAGAAGGCCAATTGTTCATGTTAGAACGGAAGTTAAAAGTCGAATACTCCAAAGTTTTACGCAAATTATCTTATAAATCATTTGACCCAGAACATAGCTCAAGAGAGATGAACAAAAATAGCACTATTTATCAACTAAATGACTGAAAACAGGAATATCGAAGAATTGTTTTAGGCTCGATATGATTTTATTTCAGAATAGCTTTTTCTGAGCAGTACCAAAAATCTTTCATCGGTCTGACAAGGAAACTACAAGAGCTGATTGCGCGCCGTTTGCTTCCTATTTTGGCTATAGATAGGCCTTAGGAAGACTAAGAAAATTCTAGAAGTATTCGTGTTTATGTGCCACTGGTTCAAAGTTATAGGCGTTTTATTGAACTTTTAGCATACAACACGGTATCCACTGCAATATTAAATGAAATTATTTCGATCTGGTATACTCTCCACAAATAGATCCAATGATTTCTAGTATATACCACAATTTTCAATCAAAACGAATTGTACTTTCTTGAGATATTCAATATGCATGACAGCTCCATTATTGTGACCCATCTGTTATAAGCAGACATTTTTTTGGAAACTGAATATCTCAACAGGGTAAAGTTCGTTTTGATTGAAAATTGTGGTATGCACTAGGAGAGTATATCAGATCGAAATACTTTTGTTTGACTTCGCAGTGGATACCGGGCTGTAGGCTAAAAGATCAGTAAAACAGCTATAACTTCGGAGCAGCAACCCATAAACACGAATGATTCTGGAGTTTTTCTTAGTCCTACTAAGGTCTACGCATAGCTAGAAAATGAATCTCAAGCGTCTATACTCACAAACAGCAGTTTTCAATTTTTCTCAATCATTTTCAACTGTCGCAGCCTCTAGCAATTAGCGTAAGTGTATAATATTGAAAATGATTTCCTCTATTTCTCGAATCTTCCTAAAGATTTACTCACCACGGTCAAATAAAAAAACACTAAATATTCTGGATGAGTTTAGTTTGGTTTGGCTTGTTAGAAGGTGCTTTTCTGTTTTTTAAATGATTAGCGTCTTACTTACGCAACAAGATAGCATTATTTATTTTGTTGCTGTCTACTTTGCCTTTTCTTTTGAATTCTTTTTACGTAAGCACCCTGTTGATAAGAACCATACAGTACGAGTTAGTCATTCGCGAAAAGATAATAGGATGACTAACACCAAAGGAAAAAAAGTCATTCTCATTCATTGAAGCTCATTGTATATAGAGTACACCGATCCACATTAAGGATGGGAATGCTGATGAGTCTTAATTGCTCAACCGTACATCTTTTGAAAGAAGTATTGGTTGAATGACACCTAAGCGACAAATCTTTAGATGCCAGGGTGGAGTAGGGTGTGGGTGTGTGAGTTTACGGGTTTATGTGTGGACTTTATGGTGAGTGTGAATGTTGTTCTTCTCTTGGTCACGCGCATACTAATACCACACCTACAGCAATCGAGGAACTAGTGGTATAATAGATCGTAACAAATCCAAATATGCATGTAAAGCACATTCGTCATGACAGTGAACAGTACTATACAATTGATAAAACAAACTAGATACAAAATGATTACCGCATAACTTTGTAGCCGACTCTGTTGCGAGTTCCTTTCCTAAATTAGTCAGTCGCTGAACGACTAATCGTTGGTTCTCATGTTTTTGATGCAAATCGCACATGTGCTTTGTAATGTCTCTAGTGTTATTTGATGTCGACGAATACTCAAGTTTTTACACTGATGTTTTTCGTTGTCTTTATTTCTTTTAAATACATATTACGAAAAGAGCACGATAAGAGTATGTGAATATTACTAGGCACATCTAGCGCTTTTTCTTTTTCGGTTTTTAAATTTATGACGAGTAGAAGTTCGGTGAAATATTTACAAGACATTATGTAATCTTGTAGTCATCATAGTGCAAGTCGAAATTCAATGCTTTCGATTTTTTTAAACTGAGATTTAGTGAAAGTTAAATGGGGTTGTAATGCTTTGCAGAGTCTGATAAAAAACATAAGCTACATCAATCAGGGTGTGTGTGTTGGTGCAAGTACGAAGAAGACTTTGATATCCACGCCCAAACCCTTCTATAAGATAAGAAAAAGACATAGATTCAGTAGATCTAATGGCTTTTTGAACACCCTTGCTACATTCGACATGATAGTACACAAAGAAATTCTCTTTGGACTCTTTCACATTATCTCTTTAATTAATATGTCACAATTTAATTAATTCAACAATCAAACGAAGTGCTATCAGACAAGCCGAATCACATTATACAATAATTCTTCAATGCTCTATTACATGGAATTCTAAAGATATCTGATGATGATTATGTAGTCATAGTTAATCAATAGTCTGTACAAATACGAAGATTTGTAATTATTACGAAAGAGTTTATTAAATTGCGATTTAGAAGACAAGTTAACAACAACGTATGGCAAGCAAAGAAGAGCAAGTATTGTTGACAAATTTTACTTCCAACATTGACTAATACATTCACAAATGACTAATAAAAAATAAACAATGCCTTTAAGATAGAAAAGACATGAGTTACTTAATGTCTTGGTTTTTTTTTCTTTTTATTGTGCAAAATCAATCATTTCTTTTCTGTGCATGGCATAGGAAGTGAAGCCAGACTTTTTTTTTTCTTTTTCCACTGCATACTGCACAATTGAAAGTGTGAGCATTAAAATAAGCAGACTTCATTTTCACATTTCATATGATGGCTTCGGCGAAAGTGCCATGTGCTACATGTAGCAAAGCTCGTAGCATTGGTACATGTGAAGGATGTTCAAAGAAATTTTGTGAGCAACACTTTGGTGAACATAGAATATTACTGAAAAGACAACTTGATGATGTTGCTAATGAATATGATAATTTTAAAAACCTATTAATTGATAATGAATACGCCTTGAAACCTCTATTGAACCAAATTGATCTATGGGAGAAAAACGCAATTAATCGAATAAAGAATACGGCTAAAGAATCTCGACATAGAATAGAAACGTTAACCAGCGAATACAAAGGTGAGTTGTCGAATGGAACATTTTGAACTAATGTTTGCTGTTATCCGGAGAAAATTTTGACGTATATCTACATTTTTTAGAGAAAATCCAAAAGCGATTGGAGAAATTTATTACAAAGTTAAATAATCTTCGTGAAGAAAACAGCTGCGATGAACGCGATACTACTTTATACAATAAAAAATTAGAAAAAATGAAAGATGACCTGAATAATATTTCCTCATCAATTGTAATTGACAACGAATCCAATAAAATATTGGTAACGGAACCTGTAATTTTAAAAGCGTCCACAACTTCCCGCGGTATATTATGAAATTATGTAATTCACAATATTCTGCAGATAGTAGGAAACCGAATTTTCTATTCTAATTTAAAAAAAAAAGAAGTTAAGAAATGGTTTTATGATGGATATAAAATTTACTAGTATAGCCGTTTTGTAGAATGATTCTAGAAAATGAAGTAAGCATGGGATTTGAAAATTGTAAGAACACTTTTTGTAGTGAACTCTATGAGCTATCAATTGGTAAAAAGAATATTTTTTTGTCATTGTTCCGTCTTTGCAAGCAATATTGGACCAACAAAATCGATACTTTCCGGACAAAAATGGAATTTTTCAAAACAAATCGTTTTCTACTTACAGTAGATAAAGATCTATGAGATTTTATATGTGAAATAAATTGGGTGGAGATGGTACTCTATTGGTATAGTTATTTTATAGGCAGCGCTTCTAAAATGCCTGCCTGTGGAGAGAAAAGGGTTAATTGATTATTTTTAACGTTTATTTTTTATTTTACAGTTTTAATTCTGTCATTTTTGAAAATTAAACTATTTACTTAGGTAGTCCATCACTGCGTCAATCAACCAGATCGCCAGATCTAGTAAGATCTGTCTCTCAAATTAAGAAGTTTTCGTCTTTCATGAGATTTTCAATTTTCGATTATCATGGTTGAATTATAGTTTTAAACCATGTGAAATAAGTGAATAAACTAATCGGCACCATTAATATGGCTAAATATTTGTATGATTATCAATTCTTTAATTCATTTAAGATAAAAACTTTGAAGTGAAAGAAATAACTGTACAGAATGATAATCTGATGACAAGTCGAAGTACTCTACTTACCGATGTATCTACGAACAATCTACAAAGCCAAGATGTTCTTTATCAATTCACCCAGAGTAGAGAAGGAAGTGTTGTTTCTATTTCACATTGTTCAGTTGCTTGATGATATTCTGAGAATATTTCAAT